TCATCGCTACTAGTAACAAGTGCCTTACTAGTAGTAACAAGAAGCTATTAGAAACAAGTGCATCGCTACTAGTAACAAGTGCCTTACTAGTAGTAACAAGAAGCTACTAGAAACAAGTGCATCGCTACTAGTAACAAGGGCCTTACTAGTAGTAACAAGAAGCTACTAGAAACAAGTGCATCGCTACTAGTAACAAGGGCATCACTACTAGGAGCAAAGGGCCAAGGGTCGATTTGGTGCCGAACGATGCTTCGGCAGAATGTCTTTGGTCGTTTTGCCCCGTTCGTGGTGTCCTTCCCAAAGCCTTTCTCCCACGATCTGTCCTCCAGTTTCAAAAATATGCCGTCCCAGACCACCCAAGACAAGCAAGTCTTCAATCGAGAGAAATATTTAAATTGCCTATTGCTGGGTGTTTGTTTCAATCATTTCTAATCCTGCTCAGTGCAGGTAATGATCAAAAAGGTCAACTAGTTTCTTGAGACAAAAAAATAAGGACGCTACTAGGAGCAAAGGGCATCGCTACTAGGAGCGATCGGACGCTACTAGGAGCTTTTTTGTCTCTCTTCAGTCCTCCCAGGGTGGATGCCAGCCTTTGCTGCCACCCTGCTGCACTGCTAGTGGAAAAAGAGGGAGACGCAGAAAGGATCAATGAGAGAGTCTGTAATGTGCACCTCATATGTAGCGATGCCCTTTGCTCCTAGTAGTTTCTTGTTCCTAGTAGTAAGGCCAGGAGCCCCTAGTCGCGTCCTTGCTCCTAGTAGCGATGCACTTTGCTCCTAGTAGCGTCCTTGTTACTACTAGTAAGGCACTTGTTACTAGAAGCGATGCACTTGTTCCTAGTGGCTGACTGCCTTCGTTCCTGGGAACCAATCACCTCGGAAAATCGGCCGGTCGGACATAACGACAATCGTAGAAGCTACCAGCAAAGGGCGTCGCTACTAGGAGCGATCGGACGCTACTAGTCTCCTGGCCTTACTACTAGTAACAAGAAGCTACTAGTAGCAAAGGAAAACGACGATCGTAGATTGCAGGTAGATTGGAACTCGATCCCCACTTTTCTAAGACCGTTGCTGTACATGTCCTTCCCCTTTGCTGGAAGGCCCTTGCCTGTTTGTGTAAGAGAGTCTAAACATGTCTAAACAAGCTGAAGAAAACGGACGAATCAATGAAGGCTTCGGCCAATGCTAGTAGGTTGGAGGCCATGAAAACTCAGGCTTCGGCCATTGCTCCACTCTCTTCTGTCCCATCCATCGCCCTTTCCTTTTCGATCACCTGAAGCCACTGAAGCCTCCCCTCCCACAGGAAAGTGCTGAAGGCCTCTGTGCGGTTGTCCCAAAATGTAAGGGCTGGGCTCATGGTGATCCAATCTCCTCTCGCATTTTGGAGATCTCCTTGTTAGGAGCAAGGACGCTACTAGGGGCTCCTGGCCATACTACTAGGAGCAAGGACGCTACTAGGGGCTCCTGGCCGTACTACTAGGAGCAAGGACGCTACTAGGGGCTCCCGGCATCGCTACTAGGAGCAAGGAAGCTAGTAGGGGCTCCTGGCCTTACTACTAGGAGCAAGGACGCTACTAGGGACTCCTGGCCGTACTACTAGGAGCAAGGACGCTACTAGGGACTCCTGGCCATACTACTAGGAGCAAGGACGCTACTAGGGGCTCCTGGCAGTACTACTAGGAGCAAGGACGCTACTAGGGACTCCTGGCCGCACTACTAGGAGCAAGGACGCTACTAGGGGCTCCCGGCATCGCTACTAGGAGCAAGGAAGCTAGTAGGGGCTCCTGGCCTTACTACTAGGAGCAAGAAGCTACTAGGGGCTCCTGGCCGTACTACTAGGAACAAGAAGCAACTAGAGGCTCCTGGCATCGCTACTAGGAGCAAAGGACGCCACTAGGGGCTAGCGATAGCCTCCAACCTAATTACTGGCGATGGCCTCCAACCTAAAAGCGGCGCTGCCTCTCCTCTCCAAGCATTTTGGAGATCTCCTTTGTCTCCTTTTCCTTTCCGTTCACGTTCACCTGAGAATGTGAGACTTGGTAATCACATGGTGACAGAGACAGACCGTGATGACATGTTTCAAATTGACTCAATTGATACTAGTAACAAGTGCATCGCTACTAGTAACCAGGGCATTACTACTAGTAACAAGAAGCTACTAGTAGCGATGCACTTGTTACTAGTTACTAGTAGTAAAGCCCTTGTTACTAGCAGCTTCTTTCCTCAAATGACACTTATATAAGGCCATGTCCATTGGGCCAGTCTAATCGGTCCCATGACTCCCCTTTTCCTTTGACACCTCGAAAGAGAAATCAAAGGGCAACAAAGACGCTGCCAGGAGCAAAGGGCATCGCTACTAGGAGGCAAGGACGCTACTAGGGGCTCCTGGCAATACTACTAGGAGCAAGGACGCTACTAGTAGCGTCCGATCGCTACTAGTAGTCATGCCCTTTGCTCCTAATAGTGTCCTGTCTTCTTCCTTCTTGTTTCCGTTATTTTCGTTTCTTTCGACCTTGAGGCCTTTTCTTGTTTTTCGTTAATTTCTTTTGTTGTCTTTGTCATTCTTTTTTGTGTCCTTCTTTCTTATTGGCTTTGTTAATGCTCTGAAATGCATTGGCAAAAGTGGGTTTCTTTGCATTTCAAGAACACACGGGACTCCATTCTCATCAAGCACTCAAGTGTCTTCACACAGCTTCTGTCCAGCAACCTACTAGCGATGGCCTCCAACCTTGTAAGTACTGAGGTCTTCACTGTCTTTGTTTGCCCATCGAACCTGCATGCCGTGCCGTAAAAATGCTATGGGTTGGTCGTGACAATCACGATGGCAGGTGTTCAGCCCCGCAGCGCAAACCGCGCATGGTTCCTTCTTTAAAGGTCTTTTTATGACTTGATTTCTACTAGCTTCTTGTTACTACTAGTAAGGCACTTGTTGCTAGAAGCGAGGCACTTGTTACTAGTAGCTTCTTGTTACT